TGAGTTCTCGTTATAAAAATGTCATGATAGAGATGACCTACAATTTTTGGAGAGAAAATATTGGACTTCTAGACTCCATATTCCATCCATTGTTCCATCTCTGAAAATGTCAACAAACAAAAGCATGTTCTCATTCTCCAGCAAGAAGTCTCACAGGATGCAGAGCAAACATCTGCAAGATAATTCAGTCAAACTAATCACATGAATATCTTCCATGTCTGTACTGTAGACTTATTAAAAAAAAAAAGAAAAGAAAAAGAAAAAAAAAGAGTCTGGGACACTTTTTAATTGCTTCCTGTGTGATAGATAATCAAGTAATTTAGTAAGAAAAGTTTGAAAACTTCAAGCCAAAGAGACTAAATTGAGTGTAATGTGAAAAGAAAGGTTGAAGGAGACTGAAAGAGCCTAAAAATCTGAACTAGACCTATTGGAACGGGAATTAGTACCTCATGTCTGTTAAGATTAACGTAAATTCCCCTGTTGTTTTGGAGAATGAGGCCCAGATGCCTGGAGCTTCCTCACAACGCTTCAGCTTTCTGAGAAATAGTGGCAGGGAAAGGAAAACTACAAATGTGATGGGCAATGAAACAAACAAAATTTGATTTTCTTGAGTCTTACCACCACCACTGATATTAATCTTGTTAGTGAAAACATTCAGATAGTTAAATCTGTCTTTCTTTACAGGAAGCAGATAAAAAACACTATTATATGGCCATATGAGAAGAAAAAAAAATGCAAGCACTGAAGATGCTAAAGGATATATCCAGTATAGTAGTAGTATATGTAGTTTTGCCTACCGTGAATTTATAGATATTCTCATTAAACACAAATTGGTTCACCCACTAAAAAAAATAATAGAAGGAGGAGGAACTAACAAACACTTGATTTTTAAATGTGTTAAAAATGCTAGATAACACTATAATGCTAGGGCTTAGCTGATTATCTTATCTTAATAATTGCTGCAACATCAGTAGAACTAGTCGACCCAAAAATAAAACAAAGTCTATTTTAAAAATAGCCTGCTGCAGAATTTTACAAAAGTCAGTGTGTAGCAATTAGAAAATACATTTTTGTTACGTAAGCTTCTAGTTATAAGAATATACATTTTGCAAAGACAAGGCACTGCTCTCCAACCTGTTTCAAATTATCTGTAAGACCTACATACAATCCTCTGGAGCTCGCAAGTTTCTATCAAAAAATCAAAGAAAAGCAAGCAATTAATGTAAAAAAAAAGTGGATTATTCTATGTATGATATTAGGCAAAATTTTAAGAACATTCCCTTAGAAATGGTAAAGTCTTCTCTTTTGATGAGTCTGTATTAGCCATTATTACAAATATTGTTGTCTGTTAAACAAAAATACGTTCACTAAGAAAACCCTAAAACCCATGGTGTTTAGGTGAAGCAATTGCTTAAAGCCTTACAAAAGTTATGCATTGTTCAATCTGATGGACTTTGTTCTCCGAGTATTTTGTAAATTAGTTATCTTGCAAATGATAAATCAAAGAATTAAAAGAACACCAATTGCAATTGCACTGATTAAAGCACTCGATGGCTGAGCTAATGTATTCTAAACTGAACTGTTTCAAGGAGAGAGTTGTGGAACATCTGTTGACCCTGCTGACTAGAAAGACAAGCTTCCTTGCACTTGTCAAGCACACATAACCAATAGAAAAATGTAATCTCAGAGTGAAGACAGTACATTGTGCTAGTAGAATCGTTTAGGGAGAACAATGAATAGGGCTGCATACCTCTGTAATGATAGTTTTGAGAAAAACTCGTTCCTTTGAGTTCAGATAATTAAAAAAGAAACACAGTTCAAAAAAAATCCATTATTTAGAACAGATCATGGTAGAAAAAAATGCTAGAGGAGCTTTGGGAAAGAGCAGATATACATACTTCAGGTGCTTTCGCCCTTCACATAAAACCAGCTTCCTGATTTTCAAATATTTTATAACTTTACTTTTTTATTTATTTATTTTTTATCCCTTGAGCTCCAAGACCTAACACTAAGGGGCACCAGAGAACTGAACTGCATCTGCTCAGATGCATCAGGAAGCAGCTGCTGCCACCAGCAGCAGGAGTTATTTGCTGTGCTAGGTGGAGAGAGAATGGGGCTTTGGGGGAAACACAGCAGACGAGACAACAGTTCTGCATGACACATTCTCTGTTACAGAAAGCTGTGACTGGAAAAGCAAGGACACACACGCCTCGGGAATGCCACTGTAGGCTCCGCGTTGTGGTTTATAACTAGGTGTTGAAAAAGAACTCTCACTCTCTTTCCCAGACAAAAGTTGGGAAATGTGTGAAAAATACTGAATGCCATGTTTTAGGGGAGCCAAGTTTATGTAAAAAAAATACTAGCAGATTTATTCTGAGTTTAGCTCTAGACAAGTGCAAATGTAGGAAAACAAACTTCTTTATCAACTCATTCTTATATTCAATTTTGGGTGAGATCTGGATGTGGCTTGAATGAGGCCTAGAGATAAGTAGTTTTCATCACCAATTTTTAATTCTTTGTGGAGTTACAGGACATTTCCAGTGACAGCAGATGGCAAAAGTTCTATTACCTTTTCCCTTTCCAGAGGGCACCGATATCAAACAAACAAGTCCTTTTGCCAGGTGGGCAGTGCAAAACTGACTTCCTTCATCCCAAATTTGCCTGCCAAAGAGACAATAATTATTCCAGTGCTGCACATCTTAATATAGCGTATTTTGAAAATCTCGGAAAAGTTATGAGGAACCTGTTACGTATTGCAGGTTTCAATACCAATATTTTGTTTCTGTCCTTTATATTGCCACAAAATAAATAAATAAATAAATTACCAAATAAATAAACAAGATATAATGAAACAAATGACGTCATGTCAGAGAGGTTAAGCTGTTCTGACCACCTTTTAAAAGCTCAATCACCACCACCTCCCAGAGCAGAAAGCATTGAAAAAATGCACACACAGTACGGGCCCCAGTATGTCAAATCATGGGAATCAAAGACCCAAGACCAAGACTAATAAAATGCCATTAGCAGATGGTGTGCACTGATCAAGTGAGAATTGCTAAGATGCATTCTGTTTGAGTACTGTGGAAGCTTTTTTTTTTTTTAATAATAATATTAGCACTTATTTCTGTATCTTTAAATAGTCTATCAAAATAAAATGGGCACATAACTTCTGTTCAGTACAGAATTTGACTCATAGATCTTTAAGGCCAGATGAGACCATTATGATAATGTGCTTTGACCTGCAGCATAATGCAGGGCATAAAATCTCATTCTGCAATTCCTCCCTCAAGCCTGTGTCTTCTGTTAGAGGTATACCATTTCTTTTTGAAAGACATCCAGCCCTGAATTTATTATTTAAAGTGATGGAAAATCCAGCACATTCCTTGGTAAACTCACCCCTTGGGTAGTGACAGGTGCAGTTGAAAAGGTACAGGCTCAGAAGTGGTTAGTTTCCAATTTTTTCCATCTACACCTTTTGATATCTAATTAGAGAAGACTCGGCTACCAGATATCTCAAATATGATCATAATGTTGTTTAAGGAATAAAGTTTTCTTTCACCAAGTCATGGGGAAAGCTGCACTTTGTGGAGTACATTGCCCTGGTGGGCAGGCGGACATTGCTTGTTCTAAATGTTCTCCTCCTTAGGATGCAGAAGTCACAGGAATGTGGGCTGGTATGTTCTCCTACATGTTCTCCTAACTCACTGGGAAATGAAAATATTGATCTTGTTTATGCTGTTACCAGAAGCATACCTTCTCAGGAGGAAGATCTTGTTACTGGAAGCTCCAAATAGTCTTCACCTGATGATGTTCAACCCCTAACAGGCAACTTCAGTTGTCCTATGCAGGTTGCAAGTTTTTCTGTTGCTCTTCCATCAAAGTGTGTCAACAAGCAAGATGAAGGTATTTTTGAAGCAAAACTAACACGACATTTCTTTAAGCAAGAAAGTCTGAGAGCAAGGACTAGAAGGTGGTGGGCTCTCTGCTGAGAGTCCAAAAGGAAATCATAAGTAATTTGGCTTCCATCAATAGGAGAGTTAAACTTGTCCTCAGTCTCTAGACAGCCACAGGATCTCTGAGGTGAAGCAAGAAGACTGAGAGCATTTACACGGGTCATGCACCAGACCTGTCTTTTGCAGAACTTCTCTTGGGGGACAGCTTAAGGTTTATGGACATTTTGCTTTCCAGTTTGCTGATTGGAAGATGAGCAGCCATTGTCAAGCTTTTTAACATGGGACTAAACCCTGTCAGGATCCAGCTGCTGCCCAGTACCTGGAATTTAATATGCTGCTATGACAAGGACAGACACGGTGACACATCTCTCCAGCCACCATCCTGCATGGACGTGATGTTTTGAGGCCACACAAGGAAGGAGAAGACCTTGAAGGGGAGAGGGTCTGCAGGGTGGATCTGAGCAGCCCCTTCAGAGAGGAAAAGTAGGGAGGTGTGCAGAAAGAGCGGCGCCAAGGAGGCCCTTTGGAGGGGCCATGTGGTCCCCTGTGCCTCTCCCACCTCCTCCTCCCCCTCCTCCTCCTCCTCAGGCAGGAGGAGGCAGAGTTGTTGCTGCTGCCAATGCGCCAGGATAGAGAGATCTCGGCGCGGGAGGAGATGACGCAAAAGGCAGAGCTCCCCCCAAAAAAGTGTTTCTCCAGGACGAAGATGGCGGCAACTTAGCCCAGGGGCCCAAGATGCCTGTGGCCATCGAGGGCCCCCAGCCTGGCAGTTCCGCCCCGTGCGCCCGGGGACACCGCGCCCGGCGGCAGCAGCGGCGG